ACTAGCTTTGAAATAAAAATGAATTCTTCTAGAGACACAATGGGCCATGGGACATTTGTTTCCTCCATTGTTGCTGGGAATTTTGTAGATGGGAGTGTTGTATTTTGGTTATGCTAAAGGAAAAATGAACGGTGTTGCACCACATGCAAAGATTGCTATTTACAAGGTAATTTGGGTTGATACCATTACGAACATAGATTTAATGGCTATAATGGAACAAGCCATAATAGATGGTGTTGATGTGATTTGCCTCTCTATTGTTGACTTTTAGAAACCAATGTATTATGATGCTATTGCAAGATCATCATTTTCTGCTATGGAAAAAGACATAGTTGTTGTATGTGCAACAGGGAATGATAGGCCAAGTATAAGGACCATGTGCAATGGATTTCCGTGGGTTATAACTGTTGGTGATCGTTGGTTTTTCTGGAGTACTAACTCTAGGAAATGGTTTCAGAATCATTGAATGGAATACATTTCCAGGATCCGTTTAGATAAAAAAACTTACTTATAATATACGAAGAAACCCTATCAGCATGTAATTCGTCCAAATTATTATATGGAAAATCTAATGGAATCATCTTATGTGAATTAGGATCGACTCATGATCAAATCTCTACTATCACCTCTTTAATAATTAAAGGACCTATACTTGTTGCATATATATTTAATTTAACTGACACTCCATGTCCTTGTATTATCATCAAAGCAAAAGGGTCATTAGAGGTGATAAATTATATGAAATCAACCAATGAACCTTTCGCTACAATGGAGTTCCAGCAGAAAATTATGATTATAGATCATGCACTTAGAATGTATGAATTTTCTTCAAGAGGTCCTTCAAAAAGCTATTCAGGCATTTTGAAGCTGGATATAATCGCACCAGGGCTACTAATTGTAGGTGGTTGGATTCCTGATAATTGCGGAGCTCATTGCTGAAATTTTACTCTATAGAAGAAACACTACAATTTCTCATCTAGAGCATCTATAGCTTGCCCTCTGATCAGTGCATAATTGTATACATTTCATACCCTTTTAGCTTTTGATTTGGTTATGTTTTTGAGTTAAACTTGTGCCTTAAATTGCTTTTGTGTTTGTCATTTAGTTAATTAAGCTTTAGGTAGTATTGGTGGCTTTGGACAAAAAAAGATATAAAATAGTGCAAAAATGTCCAAAACTAGAGACTAAGTTAGCAACTTTTTTCAGACCTAACATCTTCATCTGACCTTGGATTAGCCCAAATGATATGTGGTTGGAAAGATGACATTTTAGACTTCAAGTTGGAGGGCTCGAAGTTGTCATTTGCTGATGGGAAACCCAAGTTATGAGTGCACAAAATTGTTGGTTGTTTTGACATAAGCATGAGTTAATTGTTGTATGGTCATGCTGAGCTATGCATGAGTTATTGTTTTTGCTAGTGGGATTTGTTGGTGAGCAGAGAAGATGAAGTGCAACATCCAAATAAAAAAAGAAACTGATTTTCAATAATATTGATGTGTTAGGTAAAGTTGGTGAAATTGGTATTGTTGGTAGAGGCAATATCTAATTCAGATTTCCCATTTCCTTCTCCTTATAAATACCACTTCCATTCCACACTAAAAAGAAAAAGCACATCCATGGATTCACACTCCCATCATTCATCAACTATATCCAGGGATTTACACTCCCACAATTCATCCATCATTCACACTCCTATCATTCATCAAACACATTCAGAAATTACCCTCAAACACTCTCACAACCCGATACACTCCAAGAATCAACCCAAAACTTTAAACAACCCCAACTCACCAAAATTGTCCTAGCAATCCTCTGTGCCATTTCCCTATGAATTTCCTTTCTCAGCCATCACCACTCACCCAAACTCATCCCAAATCACCTCATTAACCTTCATACATCCTTCTAGACATGGAGAAGCATTGGACACTACAAGAACTTCAAAAAATGGTTTTTCTACTCTTATTGCATTCATTATGTTTTGTCAATTCTGTTTTTGTTAATTCAACATTATGAGTAGCTAAATTAATATCTAGGGTTTCGATGTAACCTAACATGAATATTTAGGGTTTATAAGTTTCAAGTTTTAAGTTTGATTCAAGATTCTGGTTCTTATTCATTATGCTTATAAGTGTTGAACATTGGCTCAAATATTGTTTTGTTTATTATTATCTCTCTTGTGTTGCATGTCATCCACATGGAGAAAGGAAGAGATTATTCTTTCCTTTCTCATGCATTTGCCGAAAGCAAAGGAAGAGTGTTTTTTGTTGATAAAATTTTATATTAACAAAAGTATAAAAGTAAGACATGCAGCAAGTGGGCAAGCTATCAAAGGAAGGGAATGATGCTGAAGTCAGCCTTTGTCAAAAAGAACAAAAGCCATGTGAAGCAAGCTGGAAAATGGAAAAAGCAAGTTTGACTAGCTGCATATTGATCACTATTTGCATGTGATTGTTTATCCCCTGATTCACGGATTGTCTACTATATTTATTAAGCCACTTAGGCTATGTGGCAATCATATTGATTGTAAGGAGTGGCAGTCGTGAGCTTCAGAGAGAGAAATAGAATAATTTTGTATTATTGCTACTATTTTTGGCTCTTGGGTTCTTTGTGCAACCAACTAGAGCTATGCATAATCAAGGACTTCGTTGGCAGCAGGAGAGGTGTGTGTAGGTGTCCTGCACTGTGCCGCACCAAAGAGTAGCGGCTGGTTTCTTTTCCAATACTAGTGGTTGAGCTGTTCGGTGCATTAATGTCCTTTGTTTTGTGGAGGACTTTGAGGGCGCTCATGCAACTGTTGGACCAAGTTCTTGGTTATATAATAAAGGCTTGACAAAGAGAAAGGTATGTGCAATTTTAGTGAGCACAATAGGTGAGAGAGTGCTCTTATCATGGGGCAAGCCGTATGCACCATGGTGTCTTTGTTGTTGCACCTTTTGCGTGAGGAAAAGATGGTGATGTAAAGAACTTCCTTGTTTATAAGTATTATTCATATCTTTGTAGCCTATCTTTCTCTTTTGGTATCTGTGTGTGTATTTGGGATTTGGGTTGTGAGAATTAAACTTTGTAATTCCTAGACTAGGTGAGAGTGTTTAATCTCCTTTGTTTGTAATCTCCTAAGGGGTACTAGTGGAAGTTCTTGCCATCTTCAAACTGGATGTAGGCTACACACAGGCTGAACCAGTATAAATCCTTGTGTCTCTTGGATTTTTCTATTTTGCTATTTGTCTTGTTGTTTCAACGGTTCCGTATTGTCCACCCAGTGCAATCCGTTTCCGATGTGCACAACAACAAGTTAATATGCTTGTTTGAATGATTGATCACCATTAAAACTTGTATGTTAGCTATCTTGGTTGGAATTAAGAGTAGACATCATATACCATAATTTGAATTGAACTATGAATAAGAAGAGTATGTATAGACATTACACAATAAGGATTAGATACATACTTGATTGTTTAAAAATTCTTCTATGTTTAATGAATTTATAATGCTTGATTTAGGTTTGACAACAAAGACTTAATTAGGGAATTAGGAATACAGGGTTAGGACCAAACACCATGACTTAATCATACTTTAGCTAGAATTAATCTTTGAATATGAATTAGACTTGTCACTTGAATCCTTATAACCTAAAATTGAATTGTTATGGTGAATCGAATGCCCTAGTCTCCAAATATGTTTTCCAACCCTTAAGACCACTTTTTGTTATAATTGTTTACTTTGATTTTGTTTGCAATTTTGTTTTGCTTAATTTGTTTTCCCAATCACAATCACTCTCACTTGAAATTCTGTTTTATATTCAACTTTCTATTTTTCTTGAATTGGGTAATCTAAGTATGTAACTAAGTTTAACTTCTCAGTAATCGTGAGTACGATCTCGTACTTGTCTTGTTATACTACTAATTGACACGTACAATTACGAGTTAACACCCTCATGTTGCAGGGGTGTTTGGATGTGGTCTCCAAATCCAAGCCAAGTCAAGTGGTCTCAATTTCAAACCAAGTCAAGTGGAGACCTAAAAGCCTACCCAAAGTAAAAATATTGTTATTTATAATAACAATAGCCAAATAATAAATATATTGAATGACAAAACCCATAAGCTTGGCTTTGGGTCAGCCAAGGGGTTTAAGGTTTGATTCCAAAAGAATTTTGAGGCAGCAGATGCAACAGTTAAAGGGTTTCCTTTAATAACAATGGCAGCTGGAATAGTGAAAGGAAAATGGGTTACCTGAGCTGAGCTTTTACCAGAATAGTTGTTGAGTTTCCATAAGTGACCAATTAGCTGAAGTTTTGGATAGTTAGAGTTGTGGACATACTTAGGAATTGTAAACAATACGAAATACCACAAAAGATATTTTGGTAGAAGGATATTATGACCTTGTGTAATATCAAGGAGGCCAAGGTTGGCCCACACGTTGGTCCTTGTTTTTTGAGTTGAAAAGTTGGCTATTTGAGCCAACTTTTATGCAGATCAGTTTTGGTTTATAACCATTGGTCAATTCATATATATATATATATATATATATATTAGTATAAACCAAAAAGGAGGTTTTGAACCTGGCTAAAGGAATGGTTTTTTTAAATGTTGGTTGTGAGGATGGCCAAATAGTTGGCTAGAACCAAGTCAAGGTCTTGGCTTCCCATGTCAGTAAGTTGGCTGGAGAATGGAAGTCTTGGTTGAAGAGATGGTTTGGACATGAGAGAACCCACGTGGGTTTACCTTGGTATTCTCAAACTTGGTTCAAATTGGCATGGGTGTTAAAAGGCTATGAGCAATATATATATATATATTGCATATTATACTTTGTATATGTATGTGATAATCATGGTCTAAAATATCAATGATATCGAAAATATCGGTAGTCCAAAAATATGGAAATTTCGATGGAAATATCGGGATTTGCAAGGCGCAACCACAAGGAGGCACTTTGACATATGAGAGCTATACAAAGTTCACCATCTCGATACATCAAATCCTGACCCAGGTAAAAGACAAACCATGGCTGAAGAGGCTTCCGCCCTTGAAAAGGAACTTGACAAGAGGAATACCAACAAATACTGTGCTTTTCATGAAACATATGGACATGAAATGGTTAACTGTCGAGCCTGGAAAATGCACCTCGAAGAGTTGGTAAGTGCTTTCTGGATCTAGAGCTCCACTTACCTAACTGGTAAGAAATTCAAACAAACAACAAGGCACGGCAACCTGTGGTAAGGTTGGGGGTGGTCCGCCAAATCTGGTAAGGTTTTGCTTTGATGTATTGGCTGGTGAGGATGCTCTGGGTTTGATGGACAAGGCAGTGGGAAGTTAAAAAAAGAGACATAAATTAAGAATTGTCCTTAAATTTCTTCAAATTGAAACCATAAGACCATCTCCAACCCAAGCGGTGGAAACTCAAATTTTGAGTTTAGCCTCCAAAAAGCTTCTCCAACCCATGTATTTTGGGAGGTGAAATTTTGAGAAATCTCAAAACTGGACTGGAATTCCAGTTTGCATTCTGCCTGGACTGATAAATTCATGGGGCCCAAATCTGTTTTAATTTATATTTTTTATTGAAAGCTAGAAGCCCACGTGATAGGCTATTGATGATGGCCCGCTATGACAAGTGGGAAAGAAGATTCTCATTCCTTTATTGAGCACCAACGGCTACTTTTTCAAATAAAATGTGATGCTGTTTTTTTTTAAATTTTATATTCCAACAGCTATAAAACCAACGATTCTGATTCATTTTAGGCAATCTCAACGGTAAAATTTCACATCCAATAGCTCAAATTTAAATCCAATAGTTAAATTAATATTTATAATTAATCTAAGTAAGATCCAACCCCAAAACTTATTCCAAACTTTATAAATAGCCATTCATTTGGTAAATAATCCACCAAAAATCTTTTTTTTTCTTTCTCCCTTTGTTTTCCTTTCTCCCTTTGTCATAATTTTTCATTCTACATTCATTCTTGTTGAGAATGGCCCCAAAACCCCAAAGAGGTGTGAATTGGAAACCACAAGAAGATGAGGTGTTGTGTAGAGGGTGAGTTTTTGTCTCTGAAGATGGGGCTATTGGCACGAATCAATCAAATGATTCATTTTGGTTGCGTGTGTACTAAAAGTTTTTGGAAAATGATATGGGCGTGGGCGGAGCCGGGGTACGATCACTGCAAGCTATTGCTTCTAGGTTCAAGATCATCAACCAACAATGTTATCTTTGGAAGACATGTATAACAAAGGTCAATGCAAGGCATGTCAGTGGCTCCAATCTTGAAGATGTGGTGAGTACCCATTTTTTTCAATGCTTAAATTTATAATTTTAATTGTTTTCAATTATTAACTTGATTTTTATTTTATTTTATGGGTAGGATATAAATGCAAAAATACTTTTCTTGAATAATAATAAACCTCTGAATATGCCTTTCAAGTTGTATCATGCTTGGCAAATCTTAAAAGATTGCCTAAAATGGAACGACCTATGTGAATCTCCCACACAAACATTCAAAGATTCTTCTCATAGTGGCAATACAGTAATTTTGGAGGAAAATGAAGATGATGTGGTCATGCCCACTCCAAGGCCGTTGGGAAGAGATAAACAGAAGGATGAAAAAAAGAAAGGGAAATCTGTTGAAAGTTATCTCAACCAAAGTGGTAAGTTCTTGTCTGAATTGGTTCAACAAAGAAATGAGGCAAAAGAGGATTGGAGGCGAAAGTTAAAGCTCCTACAAGAGCAACATGCATATCAAATCCAACAAGATAAGGAGGCCAATGAACAGAGGATAATGTACATGGATCTATCAAAATTTACTCCAAAAAGTATTGGGGGAATAAGCAATACGAAATTATTGAGACCCAGATGAATACAAGTTCCCCCTACAATCCAGAAGACAACTCTGGAGACTATTATCCAAGCCCTCCACATAGTGGTTATTAATTTATGCTTATTTGTACTTGTTGTTTATCTTTATTTATAATTGTCGTTTATCTTTATTTCTAATTGTTTTTTAGCTTTACTTTTAATTATCGTTTATCTTTATTTCTAATTGTTGTTTATCTTTATTTATAATTATCTTTTATCTTTATTTTTATGATTGTCGTTTATTTTTCTATGATTAGTTTTTTTTAAAAAATTCAATGATAAACCATATAATTCATTAAAATCACACAACCACTTTTATAATTTAAACACACTTTCATAATTTAAACACACTTACATAATTTAAACACACTTACATAATTTAAACACGTAACATAATTTAAACACACAACATAATTTAAACACACAACATAGCTCATTGCCCCTCTTTTTCGCATCTCCAAATGTGGTTGATCAAATCATTTCCTAGATTGTGATGCACTTGTGAAGCATGAACTCTATTATGACAGATCATGTAGTCTGAGATAGTTTGTTTGTCTCGGTTTATATCGTACGTGATAGTTGGCTCAAGCTCATAAGCAAGTCTTGCTATTGCTCTTCTAAATGTTCGTGGACAATTGTCTTCATCATCAGATTCTGCATCTAGATCCTCATACTCATCCTCAACAATCATGTTGTGCAATATTATCCACGTCATCATGATTGAATGAAGTTGTTCTTTGCGCCACAAATGTGCAGGTCCCCTAACAATTGCCTATTGAGCCTGAAGTATTCCGAAGGCTCTTTCGACATCCTTCCTATAAGCCTATTTTTATTGGGAAAATAGTCATTTTTTTTTGGAGTATCCGGTTGGGAAATTGTCTTAACCAATGTAGCCCAACGAGGGTAGATACCATCAACCAAGTAATAACCCTGATTATATTCATTTCCATTGACAACATATTGGATATGGGGAGACACTCCATTCACTACATCATTGAACAACGGGGATTGAGCTAGAACGTTGATATCATTGTTTGATCCGGCAACTCCAAAAAAGGCATGCCATATCCAAGTGTCATACGAGGCCACTGCTTCTAGAACGACAGTTGGCTTATGCTTGTAGCCGGTAAACTGGCCTGCCCAAGTAGTAGGGCAGTTCTTCCATTCCCAATGCATGCAGTCAAGACTGCCTAACATGCCTGGGAATCCTCTGCTACTAGCCTTGTGCAAGAGCCTGTAAAGGTCAGCCGAATTTGGGGAACGGAGGTACCACTGACCATACACGGCTTCAATAACAGAACAAAACTTTCGCAAACATTCAGGGGTTGTAGATTCACCCAATCTACAGTACTCGTCGATGGAGTATGCCGAGCATCCATATGCAAGCATTCGAAAAACGACTGTTAGCTTCTACTATGGGGATAGACTTTGTCGTCCACAAGCATCTATCTTCTGGGTAAAGTATGGCTCATGTGCAACAACATCATTCAAGATGCGATATAAAAGCTATCTTCTCATGCGGAAATAGCTTGCAAAAGTCCACTGGGGGATAAAGTGGTCTTTCACAGAAGTAGTCCTTCATGAGACTCTTATGATATTTTTCTCTCTTCCGATTCTTGTATTCACGGCCTGCAACAGAACCACCATGTTTGGATTGTTGAGCATATTGCTCCAGCAAAAACGTATGGTGTTGAACAACCATTGCAACTCTCTGTTGATGAAGGTCATCATCATCAGAATCATCATTGAAGAAATTTTGTATAGCCTTCCCATGTGAATTCATTGTAAGAAGGAGAATTGAATGAGATTATGTGGTCAATTTAGTAGAATAACACTTCTTAAATAAACAAGAGAACGAGATGACCTACATGTTTGAAAATAATTAAAGGAAGATAGGAAAAGATAGGGAAAGATAAGGGAATCCAATAAAGTGAGATGAACAAAGATTAACAATGGTTCAGAACGTGATTGAAACAAGACAAGATGGGAAATTGTTCAGAAAATAATTGAATGAAGATAGGAAAAGATAGGGAAAGATAAGGAAATCCAATAAAGTGAGATGGACAAAGTTGAGTAATGGTTCAGAACATTATTGAAACAAAACAATAGAGGATGAGAAAGAGTCCATAAAATAATTGAAGAACACAAGTGGAGGTGGGAAAAAGTTCAGAACATTATTGAATGAGGATAAATGAATCCAATGAAGTAAAAGTAAAAGTAAAAATGGAAGAAAATTATAGCAATGACTTCAATGAAGGGTTCGAATTATTCCAGGCATACGTATAGTGTAGTACTTGTTTTTATTTTTTAAGTGAAATTCTATTATGTTTTGGAATTTTAATTTTTTTAGGTAAAAAAGTTTAGAAAATTAAATCACGAGTATTGAAACAAAAATAAAGTCAAGAAAAATTAACAAGAAAAAAATTAGGGGTTAATTATTCTTAAACAATTTAAAAAAGTTGCGGACTCAAATTATGAGTCTGCAAAGTTGGAGGAAAAAAAATTTTGAGTCCTGAAAATATATGAATAGTTGCATTTTAGATTGTGAAAATTTGAGTTTAACCCCAATATAGTTGGAGATGGCCTTAAGGACAAACTTGAGCAAATTAAAACAAGTAGTAAAAGTGACAAACTACATCACGAAAATAACTTTTTACCAAAACAACAAAACAAAACTCACTCAACTTGCTGGGTTTTTGGCAGTGTCAGAGGTTGAGAAGCATCCCTCTTTCTTCCGTTCCCGCTCTCATTCCAGCTTCGAGGATGCAGAAGAAGGCTTCAAGGCGGCGAAGCACTACTTGTCGTCCTAATAAACGCAAGCTCGTACACCTGCCACGTAATCATTGTCTTTTCTGTTTGGTGTCCCAGAAAATGAAGGAAAACTCGAGAAAATTAAATTATAATTCTTTTGGTGTTTTGCGTTATATAAATTAATCATTTGGGGTTCGAAACTTCCAGCTACTTGTAACTACAATACTAAAAGATTTTGTAAGCAAATTCCTTTTTTCTGAAGCAAACTTTGAACTCTTTCGTTGGACAATTTTCTTCCACAATATAAATTAATTTTCTTTTTTAATTTTTTCTTTACTTCATTTAATTTTCTTGACAACCGAAAGTAGCTAAATTTGCAATTTCTTTATCTTGTTTCTCATCTGAATCTGAAGTTCATATGAAACGGAAATTTGTAGGTTCCCTTTTCTTTTACTCTCTTACTAAAAGTTTCTTGGCACCCAAACCCAGCTGAAATAAGCCCTTTTATGGTTCCTTGTTTTCTCAGGTCAAATTAAGAAGAGAAGGAAATTTCTTGAAGAAGGGTTGACTCCCCTTGTTGAGAAGTATTGGTTTCAGAGATATGATCTGTTTTCGAGATACGATGAGGGGATCAAAATGGATGAACAGGGGTGGTACTCTGTCACACCTGAAGAGATTGCAATCACCCACGCCAAGAGGTGTGAAAATGCAACCGTCATCGATTGCTTTGCAGGCGTTGGCGGCAATGCCATTCAGTTTGCTTCAATGTAAGCTCCCAAGTTTGGTTGTTGATTTTGATGCAATAACTTTATGTATTCTTGATGTTTTGTTCTTCCAATTAGGAATTTTTTGGATGTTTATTGCCAAAGTCCCAAAACTTTCTTCTGAAAAGCTCTTGTTTATGGAATTGTTGAAATGAGGTGCAGATCCATGCAAATTATTAGTTACTTGGCAACCAATTTTAACAAGTTCTTAGCTTTATGGCTTGGCTTGGATATTCAAGGTGGACATACGTGTTAGTAAAACTTCTACCTAATTGTACCTCTGGTTGAATGGAATCTAATAAAATATGCATTTAAGCTGCGAGCCATTTGATGTTTGGTGTCTTATATGGACACCTGAGGGAGAAGTTTACTTCTAGACCTGTTAAATAGTAGTAAATGCTATGGTCATATTGAAAAATACAGCAGTGTACTAGTATATCGGAGGTGGTGATGGGGGACCTAATGTCCTATTCCTTATCATATTGTATGCTATTTGCATCAGTTTATAGGAAACTTTTTTAGTTGACCAATTATAAATTTATCTTCGGTTTTTGAGTCTTGAACTCTCCTAGATGGACTTTTATGGTCACAAGGAGGTGGACCTTTGTTATATCCAAGGGCCTTTTTTATGCATTTTGGAGAGGCTTTTGAAGTGTACGAGCTTAATGAATTTTTATCTTTGGTCTCTTAGGTGTTATCATGTTGTTGCTATTGAAATTGATCCCCTTAAAGTTGATATGGCCATTAACAATGCTAAAATATATGGAGTGGAAGATTACATTGATTTCATTGTTGGAGACTTTTTCCAACTTGCTCCATCATTGAAGGTACTGCTTTCCTATCTGTACTAATTGCTGAGAACCTTTCAGATAATTCTTCATTTGAGAATGTAACTCCCTGATGTGCAAGCATGGAGATTAATTTGAAGGCAATTCCATGTTGATTAGTTTGTCAGTTTGAGTTTGCAAGTTCAGTCATTCAGATAACCTTTTTTCTCATTTTCAGTGTTTCAATATATGCTGAGGACTTTTATCGATTGTTTTTCACATGTGTTGATGGTTTTAGGTGAACTGATTGACTTCTGTGTTCAATTGTTATCATATAAATAATCAGGAAGAAAGGTTCTTAGTTTGTTGATTTATCTGTTGTTACTACTTTCAATAAAAAGTGAAGTTAAACAAACTGAGTTAATGTTGTCAGAATATGTGCAAGCTTTCAGATTTTGTGTTTATGAGTATATGACAAGATAAGAAGAGTTTTAATGTATGAATACTCTTAAATATGTTTTAGTGTATTAAAACCTTTTTTCTTTATGGTAAGTAGAAAGGCTTTGTCTGGTTCCACGAGTTTGTTAACTGTACTTTGTGATGAACTTTCATAGATTTTGTTGGGATTTTTTTATAATGGTTTTATCATGTGACCTGATGCGGTATGATATTTGATAAATTTCATTAGTATCTGGAGCTAACAAATGAATGAATACGTAATATGTGCAAAATTTGGGCACTTTTGTTTTAATATGAAAAACTTTTGAATTAATTCTTCTGTAATAGCTTGAGATGGAATTAATGATGTACATTTTGCATCTTAATTTTTTTAGGGGGACGTAGTGTTTCTTTCACCACCTTGGGGAGGTCCATCATACAAATGGATGAAGAAATTTACACTTGACTTACTCAAGCCAAAAGATGGGTATGTAACTATACCTTCATTTTATGTTGTGTGATTAGAGTTAACATTCACTGCTTTAGTTTACTGAAAAAAGGAACTATGATGGTGATGATAAATTTTAACATATCTTGGAGCTTACATTAAAGTTGTGAGGCAGGCAGCCGAACTTAAAATTAAAATTATAGTCATAGCTGGAATATTTAAGCTCTAACATAAGCTCTACCAAAAAAAAAAAAAAAAAAAAAAAAAAAAAAAAAAAGTCAAAATTCAACTTAAAAAACCTGATTGAAATCCTCTCTAAGAAATTCTCAATTATATAAGTACCTTTTTTTTTTAATGATCATACTTTTAAAATGATAGGCATATATTATTCGAATTTCTAGATTTGCTGGATATGGCTGTAGTTCTCACCTAGTGTCTTACAATTATTCTTTTGATGTTCGGGGCTTACTGTGTTTAATTTTTGGTCATTTACATTCTGAGTTGAGGGCCATATCCTTGTAGGATTGAGTGTGCTGGAAGCCTTTGTGTTATTGTTGCTCTTTTAGTCTAAATAAAATAAAAATTTAGTGATACTTGCGGATGATGCTGCTCTGTCAAATTTGTGATATAACTCTTGTAACAACCGTGATGAGTATACATTCTACCTTTTTATCCCCAACTTGTTCCTGGCCATCAATCCCTAACCTCTTACACCGTTAAGTCCTTAGTTTAGTTGCTGCAGAAATTCCTGAACCCTGAAGTGAAATTTCTTAGTGTCCTGCAACCTCACCCGTAAATTGGTTTTTTCTGTGCCTGGTTTCAATTGTAATGCCTGATTTGTTTCCCCCTCATCCCTTAATACTAAAATCCATACTCTTGTGTTGGATTGTAATTTGTACCCACCACACAAACTACTAGGTAGCATTATATATATCAATTTTGAGTCTTCTGTGGGACGTGTGAACTACCATAAATTTAATAGCAGTCACTATGACGACCTCTAGTCCAAATTGCATTTCTACAAGTGTCTCTTAGTTCAGAAATATAAGTAGTGACATCATGAAGACAGTGCACATCTAACAGTCTATCAAACAAAAAAGTTAAAAGTTATGAGTATGGATATATTCCTCTCATTCTTCAAACATTGAGCTTAGTCTCCACCTCCAATTGATTGGGCCTGAATTTTTGCGTAAACGCTAATAGTAATCCAACTGTCTTTGGTGTCTTGTAATAACTATTTAACTTTCGTTACCAATGTTATGAACTGGGTTCTGCTAAGTTCATTTGTATGAACTCAAATCCTAACTTCACACAATCATTATGGTTGTGTCAGGCTTGGTTATTGAATTAAAACCAGAATTTCTTTCTGATACTAAACAAGCACTTTCAACCGGAAATAGATTAGGCTTTTGGGAGCTTTTTGATCTATTTTGTGGTTAATTTTCCCTCTATTTTATACATTGAGTGGTAATTTTGTCACTGGGGACTTCTCCAACAAAACTAAATGAAATAATTATTTTGTAGTCTGACTGTCTACTTTTAATTATGTTTTCTACATTATCTATTTTGTTTTCAATGTAATTATTCAACTCTTAATGCACAGGTATGCAATATTTCAAGCTGCTCAAGCTATAACGCCCAACATCATTATGTTCTTACCTCGGAATGTAGACTTGCTCCAAGTGGAAGAACTCTGTTGGTTGTCTTCTCCTCCTCTACAAGTTGAGGTATGGTCCTGTCCATACAACTTTTTTTGTTGTTGTTATGCATGGAAACTGTCTATAGTATCGTGTTTTTTCTTTCTTTCCTGTGTGTGTATTTTGAAATTTGCAGTTTGAACACCTTGTTCGATCTCTAGTCTAATTTTAGTGTCGACCTTGAACAATATGCGATGGATGTTAATTTTGCAGATTGAAGAAAATTATGTGAGGAGCAATTTAAAGGGTGTAACTGTCTACTTTGGTGGCACTGCAGCATCAAGTCAATGTGGGTCGTCATAATCTTTCTAAGCAATGAGTTGACCCAAGTGTAGTGTATATCAAGGACGTTAATCACTTGCTGAATTATTTGTACCATAATTTTAAATGTCAAGGTAAAGCTTTGAGGGTTGTTTTGTTGGCAATCATACTTCTTGAAGATGCTTACTTGTCTTTCTTTGTCCTCTTTTTTTAATTTTTTGGTGTGTGTGTGTGTGTGGCTACATTAGAGGGGATCAAATCTTTGACCGATCCTGATCCTAACTCATTTTCTCGGCCTCCAGTACTGCTTTGGTTTAACCGAGGGCTTGTGTGGTTGTTATTTTCCTAAAAAAAATGACATGCTCCGTGGATGATAGCCAAATTACTAAGAAACGTTTCCAAAAACAAATTCTCTCTTTAGAACCAAAAATTGAACACATTGAAGTTCGAGTTCTTCCTTCAAAAAAAAAAAGAAAAAAAAAAAAAAAAAAAAAAATCATCAACTTGGAGTTTGAACTCAAGTGCAAGATAGCAGACACATTGCCTTAACCAACCGGCCTACACTGCATTTGTTTGCTCGGCCTTGTTTAGCATTAACTGAAATATAAAAATTAAAAAAATTTAAAGAAAACTCATTTACTGCCCCAGAGATTGGATTTAGCATTTCTCGTGCCGAAACAATAAGTCCAAATGTAAGTAAATAAAAAACATTCAGAATCTACATAAGACGAGTGTAATTGTTGTACTTTAAGCTGGAATTAATAATGTTTTTCATAATACATATTGTTAAGGAAAACATCATTTGCTTTAATACATTGTTGAATAAATGAACTAATGACATTGATAGTGATGATGATGAATTGTTAACATACCATGGAGCTTGCATTACAAATCATAGCTGCAACTTGCAAGGCAAGTTATCAGAAGCTTCTACGACAAAAAAGAGAGAACTTGCACAAGTATGATATACTCTTGCCGAAGATTTGAGTGACTTAATTCTTGGAACAAGCATGATGATTATAAAGCCTACGTTTCCATCCCCATTCCCCAAGCATTTGATGATTTAATTCTTGGAACAACCTGCTTCCACACCTTAAACTGGTTGCTGCCGGACACTCCTGAAACCTAAATGCGCATCGACCAAGAAACTTTTAGGTGTAACCGATCGTATGCAACCTATGAAACTGCAGATTTTCTCCCTGCAACCTCCCCCATAAATGGTTCTTTTCAGAGCCTGACTTCAACATTAATGCCTGAAATACCTTTTTCCAATCTAAACACACCCAATGCAGACTTCCAATCATTCTTAAACCGATGGAATAATTGAAATGGGTTTTTTCTGCTTGGTTCTGGTGCCTTTGTTTCTTTTTTAGGATTTTCTTGACTAATGACCGACCAAATTTCAAGTTTCTTAAATGGGTTCTTGGTGCTTTCTTTCTTGGCTTAATGTCTTTTTGTAATGGCAACCTCGTTACCCAATTTCTCTGTTTGGGGTATATTTATTTCATACATTTTCTTGCTTAATGGGGAACCAACTTTCATTTTTCTGAAATGGGTTCTCGGTGGTTTTGTTTCTTGTCCTCAATTTCTATGTTTTTATTCTCTAGTTAGATCTCCTCCTGTGTTTTCATATTTGCATGTATGATTTTTTGTTTCTTGATCAGAATTCTTGCTTCCTCTGTGAGCTTCTTATGTCAGTTTTGTTGTTTGAACAGTTCAAATGGAAAATTGTTAGCTTTAAGTCCCCTGTCTCATTCTCTTTAAATGCTTTCATGCTTCATTTCTGCACAACCTTCATTGACATGTTATATTTGATCTTCGATGCGTCTGTTCACTTGGGGTTATCTGTTTTGATCAGCATTGGAGGCTACGGCTTGGCTAAATCACACTGAACTGAAGGGGAGAACCATGAGAATAATGCAGCACAGATGACATGAACGTCAGAAATACTGTTGGAGATGAACAGCAGTGTCAAAGAAGCTCAAGTTTCGAAGGTGGCAAATGTTAGTAGGATCAGTGTAGTAGATCATTGCGCTGTTTTCGCTAAGTGTGGCTCCAACTTGACCTGAACACTGGTAGCATTTTACGTTTGCTAAATGGCTCGTTACTAGTTCAGTTTCTATCAAAGCATTTTGTTCCTTCTGCTTGTAATTTGCAAAAGATGTTGTACATTTGATTGGCTCTGTAAATCTCTTTAGTAAGGTGGGACCAGGATTAAGAATTTTCAATACTAATCAATTTGACTATTTTCACAGTATGTGAAATTCGCAAAAATAGCCTTTTTTCACAACTTCTATTTTAAAATAGCCCCATTTGTATTAAAGAAGCACTGTATGGGACAAGGGCTATTATAGAATAAAAGTTGTCAAAAAGGGTTATTGTAGCACAAATCCCTTTCTGTATTGTTTGTTGTTGTGGGGATATGATTAGATCTATCTCTCTCTCTCTCTCTCAACTCATTAAGCTTTTGCATCACTCTCTTTGTAAAAATAGTAACCTAAAAATTTGAGATGAAATATTTGGCTATGAGCACATTAGGGTGCCATTTGTTACACATGATTGGACTAAATTTGGTACCATGTTTATTTCATCTAATCTTAAAATCTTAGATGAGATTGCTAATACGGGGCCCACCAAAAACATCTCCCTAGGAAAGGACTACTAAACTCATGTGGGAAGAGTTAACTAGTCTCATGCTCACCAATGTATAAGATGCATATATTATACTGTAATAATAATAGCATGTATTATTATTATTATTATATACCCATATTTATATATTATATTATATTATACCTACATACACATATACTATAATGTACATATATACTCGTATATACACATATATATCATATATGTATATATGTGTATATATATACATATATAATATATATTATACATAGACATATATACATATATATTATTATTATAATATACCATATACACATATACATATTAATATTATAATAATAGGATAGGTGTATATATGTATTATATATTATATATTATATTATAATACATATATATATATACGTATATATACATATGTGTATATATATTATACCCATGTATGAATTATAATATACATATACACACGTACATACATATATATGTATATGTATTTGTATTATACCCATGTATATTATATACATATATATTATGCATGTATATAATATACGTATATATACATATATATTATATATTATAAAATACATATATACATGTACATAATATATGTATTTATACATATATACATATATAAAGATACTTTTGAAAAAATAAAAAAATCTAGTCCTAGTCCAAGCATACACCAAACGCATACCGACAATCCAAGCCAAGAAAATCCCTAAGTATAGTGCATGTCAAGACAGTCATGTGTAACAAACGAGCCCTAGAAGAATAAAATAAATTGTTTGGACCATGTTGTATTTATAATCCTGTAAAACGTACAAAATGTGGCTACAGAATTCCCATTACCTATTTATCTATCAAAGGTATTAAAGAATCATGAAAAGAAAAAGGCTCAATGATGGTCAATGAGCCTCAAGTTCTAAACCATGCAAAACCCCTCGAAACTCATTTAAACTTAGGCTACAGTAGTCTTTATTCTTTAAAAAACTTCCGAAATGCACATCCTTGAGCCTCATAAACGTCTGCAAAGTCAATAGACTATCAGAACCAGCCTGGTGACTCTTCCCAGCCACACGACCAACCTGAAGCGAATGAGCCACTTTCTCTAAACCTCCATGAAGCCCTTGAAAACTCTTGATCAAGTGCTTGATGTCGTAAACTCTTTTCCCAAACTTTTTCTCCACCTCCTCCATGAAACCACCAATGTCCATCGGCAAGTCCTTCCGAGTTAGAATCTTCATCAGGTACCCGAAATCGTACGAACCATGGAAAGTCACCCATGTTAAACGGGACTTATTGCAGAGCACCATCCTTTCCATCAGCCCCGCGAAGTTGGAAGAGCAAATACCCTTTTCCTTGTTCTGCAAGAAATCGATCCCATGCCGCTTAAGAAACTCGATTGCGTCTGCGGTGTGAAGGTCGCCACGCTCAATGTCAAAGTCCCTGAAGTTGAATTCCCATATGTAGCAGCAATCTGTGCCGAAATTGGGCAAGTTCCCGTAGTGGTCTGAGAGTGTTAGGCCCAGCTGAATGATGTTCATGGCGTCCACATTGCCCTTCATGATTTGGTATTGGTATGCAGGGGGATCCCGAGCCTTGCATTCAAGTATGGTGCCTGGGAATTCAGTGTCGAAGGAGACAAAAGGGTAGTCAGCAATTGCGGCCTCAACGCGAGCAAACTCGTATTCTAAATTTTGTTGCCAAACGCTTCGAATCTCCACTCTTTTATTCATCTTTAATTCTGGGTTAGGCTTCTTGAATTTTGCTCTCCTGTGCTCCGCGTTGTTCATGAATTTGTGTCGAATGTTATCTTTGACCAAAGTCATCCATTATATAGAGAGTGCCACTTTTCCAAGTGCAAGTAGGAAACCCAAGTCCATAAGCAAAATAAAAGAAACGAAATAGGAGATGTTTCTGTTTTTCTTCTCCCTTGATTCCGAGTGCTCTGAGGAAACCAAATCCCCAAACAAAAGGGATAAAAACTAAAAACGCATGCCGCCACTCTGTCCCTTTTTAAAATATAAAAATAAAAATAAAAATTTAAGTCATTATTCTTTTTTCTATTATTCCTTTAGATTATTCCTTTAGTTTATTCTTTTTTCTTTAAATTTTATTTGATGTAGACAATATTCAGTCGTGGTGCAAAGATTAAAAGTTTTAGTCGGAAGTTGGAAAGGTAGAACGGTTATAAGTTTTGGTTGGCACCATGATTCAGTGATAAGGAATGTGTATCATCATAATCTTTCAAAGCTATGAGTTGACTTAAGTACAGTGTATATCAACAACGTTAATCACTAGCTGAATTATTTGTAGCATAATTTTAAGGGAGTTTCACTAAAACACCCAAAATAGGGGCTTAAATTATAAAAAAACCCAAGCACTATTTAAACATATAAACACACCCAAAACCCATCATTACACACACTCAAAATCCATTTATAAACACACCCAAAAAGTTGACTTTGGGGTTGATTTTGGGTGTGTTTCTATGTTTAAATAGTGCTTGGGTTTTTCTATAAATACATGTCTAGAATTGGGTTTATTTATAAATTTGTATAATTTTAAATGTCAAAGAAACAAAAAAAGCTTTAAGGGTTGTTTAGTTGATTATAAAGCCTAGTTGCTGCCAGACACTGCTGAAACCTAATGTGCATCCACCAAGAAACTTTTAAGTGTAACCCGTTGTACGCAACCAATGAAACGGCAGATTTTCTCCTTGCATCCTCCCCCATAAATGGTTCTTTTCAGAGCCTGAATTCAACATTAATGCCTGAAATACCTTTTTCCCATGCCGTAATACTCGAAGTCATACTCTCTCTATTGGCAAAGAACTCATTAGTGTAGTAATTTGGAGTAATTGCTCCTCTCAGTAAAGGTCCTGGATTCAGTCTTTGCATCCGTGTAGTGTGTGTGAAGTTTAGTATACTATCACTCATCTCAATAGGAAAGGTCCTCAAAACCCATACTCTTGTTTTGGATCGTACCAACCTTGTGCCACACAAGGACTTCTGGGTAGTAGTGGTATACAATCAAGGACTTCTAGGTAGTAGTAGTATACAATCTCCAGCATGAAGTTTGTTCCATCTGTTGGACATTTGGAGCTATGATCAAACTTTTTATAACAGTGGCAATGGTCCAAGACGCATTTCTTCAAGTGTCACCTCAAATGACCTTAACTACCCTGCCATTGTTCTTCTCACGAAATTATAGTTTCTTCATGAAGTCTTCAATGGTATCAGCAGGGCCAAACATATTCTTCCGTTTGACTTCGTCCCAAAGCAAACGGCATGTTTTATACCTAGGCTTTATCTCTTGACCAATCATCTCCTCGAAGAGAAGATACGCCCACTCGCACTTATTTGATCTGCATAGTCCATGAATTAGAAGCGTATAGGTTGAGAGATCGAGACTGAGATGATGTCTATTAACCATGTCATCTAATAGCTTGCTCAAAAAATTGTCTGTTTTGCCAGTTTTAAAGCACATTTTAAGCAATGGATAGTATGTCTGAACATCAGGCTTACATAACCTTGCATTTTCCATCTGCAAGAGGACATCTAAGGCCTTTTGTTCTTCAGCATGATGGCAAAACATGGCAATCATTGTATTGTAAGTTGATGTATTAGGAGGAACCCCCTTCTTAGGCATTTCAACCTCGAATACATGAATAGCGTCTCGTACCCGGCCAGCTCTTCCTAGTGTGTGGATCAGTGAGTTGTAAAAAAGTGTATCCGGATCACATCCAGCAGATTTCATTCTCTCATATAATTGCAAAGCTTCCTCAAACTCCTCAGACTTTGCTAGATAACACATGACAGAGGTGAAGGTGATAACATTTGGCGGGCACCCCTGAGCTTCCATTTCATCAAACAATTCATAGACCTTAACAAAGTTGTATTGGTGGCAATAAAATAGGATGATGGTCGAGTAGCTGATGACACAAGGTCGACAGCCATGTCCCTTCATTTCTTGGATTGTCCAGTGTGCCTCATCAACCCGTTTGATCTTGCACCAACCATGAATGAAAATGTTAAATGTATGAGCATTTGGCGAGATGTGTGATTTTAGCTCTAAAAAGATCTCACGAGCCTGCTCAACTTTGTTCTCTTTGCAAAGTGTGTCAAGCAACAAGTTCATTGATTCTGTGTTCTTCTCCAATCCAAAACTTCCTAACTGATCAAACATCCTCACAGCATCCTCCCATTTCCCTGCACCAGCAAACCTTCTCATAACCTTACCAACAGTGTTAAGAGTGACCAGATGATCCTGACGCATCTTTTCTAACAAACCCATAATCTTATCCATTTGCCTCATTTTGCCCAAAATGTCAACTATCATATCATATGCATCTGGGGTGAGTGTATATTCAGAGCGTGACTCTGCCCATCTAAACACACCCAATGCAGACTTCCAATCATTCTTAAACCGATGGAACAATTGACCAACAAGGTTATCTGTGAGCTGAATGCTATTGTATGCCGGATCATGTGCAAGAGACTGTAGAATCTCATCATCAGTCCTACCAACAGATACTTTAGCAATGATAATGTCAAGGTCCGATAGTCTTGTTGGGTCTTCAAATTGTGATGACCCCTGCTGAGAAGACAAAATTGAAGAAAGAGCAGGTGAGCAATTTTCAGAAGAGGTATGGAAAAAGGAGCAAGAGTATGAAGTATTGCTTCGGAAGCGGACACTTTTAAAGCATTTCTGAACATGGAAGATCATGAAGATGTCCCCAGGAAATTCAAAGATTATGTCTTTTAGCTCCTGCATACCATAAAATAAAATAAAAATAAAGCTTTAGATTGTATAAAATCCAATAGAATATCGAAGGGAGAAAAAAGAAATATAAGGTAGCATTTTATACAGAAATGACGACCTTCAGAAACTAAATTAGTATATACACCTCCCCCTCCCCCAAAGAGTGAAGGACCACAACAAACCCTAAACCCATGGATTCCACCTAAACCCTTAAACCCATCAAGAGGTAGACCCAAATAACACAAAGGCGCACTCCCCTGACCGCAACAGCCCATCATCAGCCTTGATGATACCCACACTAAGAGACTGTCATATTTAAGCATCAACAATACTAGCTGAACTAAAACATGCACCTCCAACAGTTAACACATGATCTTCTACTGCCCAAAGGCAGTGCACAAAAGGACTTGCAATACAAAGAATGCTTAAGTTCCCAGACATACTCACGAAGAACAAAATCTGACTTCAATTTAAAAACTGAAATGTAAATTATGCAACCTTGAATCAAGTTTATAATATGCTACAATTTTTTGAAGAAAATAATATAATGAAAGACCTGTAGCATTAACAAATACTTCCCAATAAAATTTGTGCGAGTTTGTTCTTGGAAAATTTTCCATAAAAGAGCGTATTGGCTAGTAGCAAATTGAAACACAACCAACAATCCTATGGGTTCAACACAATAGCGATTTTATACCATAACAAAAAAAGATTTTCCTTGAAAAACTTCAACCGCAATATGAGAACCATACTTGCGGAAAATGTACCAGAAAGCAAGCTACACTTCTCATGCTAGTCAACATCTTGCAATGCATAAGGCAACAAAATTCTTGCAAAAGCATACTGACAGGCACGTGCATTAAAAGGGGAACATTCAAAACATATAAGTAGCAAAGGACGTATATTGTACAGTGAAACTTGCTTTTTCGAACTTTACTGAAATCCTCCAAACGGAATACATTCAAAATAGCTTCTAATATGTTCTTCTTGACTAAGAATAATGCAAGAGCACTGTCATCAAAGAAATATGCGAGAGCATGTACATCATAATGCAAGAGATCAGGAAGTGAAATACCATATAAATTATGTACACCTGAAACGTGAAGAAATTAAGACCTCACAAGCAAGAAGATAACAACACTGATTTAGTGGCACAATAAAATTATTATTTTTATACCCAGAAATCCACCAATCCGCAAAGTGGACACAGCTTTAAAACTGGGGCTCCCCACAAACCCTACAATCTTTGGGAGGCAGGAAACACTTGCAAATAGCTAGGTAGGTACCTTTGGGGGTTTCCAGCCCCAGACCACATGGGAGCTCAATATAGAAGGAGGAATAAAATCTAGAACCTTACAAATGGATTGGAAGCTTGGCACCTTCTAAGTGAATACTAACCCAACTACCAAGAAAGCCTGCTTTCAAGCAAGAATATAAAAGTGATTACCGAATGTTAAATGTCTCTTTTTTGTACAGTGGCTGTACTGTAGTTCTTTTAATTAAAGAAATTATGTTTCAAATCAGAAAATTATTATTATTATTATTATAATACCAATCCAATGTTGATAAGTAAACTCACCAAAAAACCAAGCAGCCCCACTTCAAATCCCCAAGTATACCCACTAAGAATATATTTGAGTCAATAATTACTACACACAAATGAACATGCATTGTCAACTCAAACCGGGACACACAATTATATATATTTTGATATATATATATATATATAATATATACATGTATATATTTTGAAGGAATTCATACAAAAATCAAATCCACAAACCCGCTTATCATTCTTAGTTTACTAGTTCCATCATGATTAATGTTATAACTATATCACAGTGATTTCTAATCTTACCAATTGCAAGTAATGTCTTTACCCTACATTTGACATATACTATATATACATTATAAGGAAAACAATAGAAGGAGAAAAAGCATCCCAGTATACATACGTTAAAGTTTATAATCACTTGCTGCCAACTTCGAACTCAAATCTGAGAAAAATACACAATGCCTAGATACAAAGCAAAAAAGAAACAAAATATATTCATAGCAGCACCATGCACTAAAGCTCATTGTCGCCATCAAACTACACACATCACTATTTTCTTGACATCAATTGAGATAAAATTAGCCAATTTGCTGTGTTCTGTGAGACCCCAGCAGATCATACCACAAAACATAGAAGGTGCAGCATTATCAGTGCTCTGAAGGTGTTAGAAAAAGAATTTTTGAAAACCATGGGGGCATTTATTATTTCTTTTTATTTTTCAGTAGATTATCAATAATTCAGCTATCCTTCTCAAATGGGTTCAATCCAAATCAAGAATTGACTTTCTACCTAAGCTTTTCCTCATGATGCAATTCTAATATCTCACATTAAAAACCCCATTTCACATTTACGACCCAAAACAATCCAAATCATGTCATTCTCGTAAAACACATATCCATAAAAACAACAAATACAAAGAAATAAAAAGGGAAAAAGGAAAAACAAAACACAACCCATATAAAAGCAGTTGCTCAGATCTATAGGGAAATGAAAAGGAAAAGATGGGGGAAACTTACAGATGAGGCAAAATGCTATTGAAGCAAAAGGAGCTTGATGATTATTCTACGTTTGGTCTATCTTCTTTTCTTTTCTTTTCTTTTCTTTTCTTTTGGGGTCTGTGTCTTCTTCTTCTTCTCCTTCTCCTTTATATGATGATGTTTCGATTTGAAGTTTGGAGAAGAGATGAGGAGGAAATGGCCGTCTGGTCCACGGTGTTTTGACCACAAATAGAATGAATAAACAAAGAGTATAGATTCGCTGATTGCGTGCGCAGGTGTCACTCGTTTTGTGTCTTTTCCACGAGCGCAAGGGCCGTTAAATATTCCAGAGGGCGTTGGGCGTTAGTTTCAGCACCTGAAACGGCGCGTTTTGGTTCGTTATGGCGGTGGAGCTTTTTATCCTTATTAGAGCATTGGGAGGGTGTATAATAGGATGTATGTTAAATATACACCCTTTATGATCGGGAATCATCCGAAATGGGAAGGTGTAAACAAATGTAAGTTTGCATCCCCACCATAAGATGCAAATTTATATATACATGTACATTATTTTTTACATATCTTATATGTGGGACCCAACTAAAAAAGGTGAGATAAAGTGGAGAAAAGTCAGCAAAAAAGTTTTTGCACCAAAATTCATATGTGGGCCCAATTTTTAGTTGTCATCTCTCTCCCCCCAACGGCTACATTGCTGGACCAATAACTTTAATTTTCAAAAACAGCTAGCTTTAATTTTTTTTGAATGAAATCATATCTTTTCCGAATTTAAATATTTTTAGGTCTATTTGTTTGAAAAAAATAAAATTAACCTAATACACAAAAAATTAATTTTATAAAGTTAACACAAAATAAAATTTTAACACAAAAACGAATTAAGAGAAAAAAATCAATTATATATCTTTAGATTTACATCTTTCCCATTTGAGCAAAAACTATATTTACAACCCTCAAAGGTGTAAGAGGATGTAAAAGTGGCTTTACACCCCCGAAAATACAACACCCCCCCCCCAACTGTGGATGTTTTTACTCTTTATTATTTGATTTAATCCACGTATATGTCCTCTAATAAAAAAAAATTGGCAAAATTTTGAAAATTCTAATTGTTAAAATTAAAATCACATTAATGTTTAAACAATTTAAAATGATTTTTAAATTTAATTGGATTTTAAATTTTTTATTAGTTAAAATTAAGGGTAGGCATCGAGACCGAAAATCAGAACACTTAGCCGCACCGAACGGAAAAAAATCGTGTTGACTAAAAAGTCAACAAATCGGCACCGATTTGGACAGGACCGAATTAGTTGTGTATTTTATTTTTATTTTATTTTAATTCTTTAAGTATAATGCTACATTTCTGATCCCATAACTAACATATCCCCAAGCCCAATTTTAAAGCACCTCTCTTTTCTAGGTTCAATCATCTCTCTTTGCATGAAATTAGGTCATTTGTGAATTTTAAGTCTAAAAAACAAAATTTTAGTTGGAATTTGTAAATAAAAAATTTGAAAATTATATAATAAAAAATCTTGTCCAAAATGGGAAAAATCGAAAACCGCACAGAAATCGGTTTAAAAACGGATCAATCGGTTTCACAAATTTTTTTTAACAAAATGAACCGAACCGCACCCACCCCTAGCTGAAATTACTAAAATGCCCATACTACGTTAGCAACTTTAAAGTTTTATTGAAGAAATTATGGAATTGGATAACATGAGACATGGAATGCAAGCATATAGGGGATATTTAGTTAGTTGAAAGTTCAGGGGGTAAAGTGAGACTAAGAAAAGAACATGGACATATCAATAAATGGCTTAATTGCTACAGTGCCCCCTAAAACATTGATCAAATCCCACATTGCCCCCTCAAGTTGAAGTGACCCACTTTGCCCCTTTAACCAAAGTTTGGTTTGTCACTTTCCCCCTTATGTCAACTCCATCTCAAACTCTTTTAAAACTGATGACGTAATAAGGGTATATTAGTATTTCCATCCTAGCTGGACAAAAAAGTCAATAAAAAATTCTTAATTTTAAAAAATTAATTAAAACATTTTTAAAAAAACATAAATTAAAATTAAAATCCTTGAATTTGAAAGCTAAAAATCCCAACCCAAAAAAACAAAAACAAAAAATATGAAAACAATGGATTTGCTCCTATTCAAGTCCCATGCTTCATTGATAAAGCTTCTCCTCAAATCTTTCTCATACAAAACCTCATTTTTGCTTGGCCTCATTGATGAAGACATGTAATTCGTTCTTGAAGAAAGAGAACCTTGGAACCTCAAACCCCAAGACTTTTGGCGGTTAATCTCATATTCCACCATTGAAGGATTGTCAACAACTTCTTCCTTGATATCCATCCTTCCTAATAATCTTGATCTTCATGGGATTGGAGAAGGAAGCATAACACTTTCTTTCAACTTCTCTCTTCGATCCCAGACCCAAAACCTCACCCTCTTCCCTCAACCAAAAATTCATTGCCCTCTTCAACGCACATCCTCACACCACCCCCCCTTCCTGACGCACAATCTCATCGCCAGCCGACCCTCTAATATTAATTTCCTTGTGATGAAGCCCAATTACTACCCAAATATTAGCCCAACCCAAGACATCTTCTTACTGTTGGAGATAGCTAAGGAACCTCATAAAATCAGTATCTATTTTAGAATAATAGTATCATTCCATGTAGTACATGAGCTGTCACTGACTGACCCTGTTTCCTGTCCAAC